AGGCAGGTGGATTTCTATGAGTTCAAGACCAGCCTGGTCTACAGAGCAAGTTCCAGGACAGCCAGGGCTACACAGATAAACCCTGTCTTGAAAAAAAAAATCAATTAATCAATATCCCAAATTTAATTTTCTAACATCTGAAAATAAATTTCAACAACAAATCCCTGAGTGTCTAATATTCTGTACTTTAAAGAGAAAGATGGCCCTAACGCTTTTCATTTTTCACTAAAGAAGCACAAGGAGCATTGAATAAAACTGGTAACTGAGTGAATTTTCTCTTCTGTTCCTGCCTTCTTGAATAACATTCATGCTAGAAATTTAGATGCTTTTCTCAAGACCTGATGCTTCTAACTTTCAATAATAGACACCTATAAAATAACGGCACTGCTTGTCAAAACACAAGAAGTGTAGTAGACGTATGTAAAGAGAGAAGGTCTTACCATGCAGCCCAGGCTGGTTTACAGTGTCTCAGGATCCTGAGTGCTAGGATTTTAGGCATGTGCCACTAGCACATCTGGCAAAAACAAAACATTTGGATCTTTTTTTTTTTTTTTGGTTTTTTCGAGACAGGGTTTCTCTGTGTAGCTTTGTGCCTTTCCTGGAATTCACTTGGTAGCCCAGGCTGGCCTCGAACTCACAGAGATCCGCCTGGCTCTGCCTCCCGAGTGCTGGGATTAAAGGCGTGCGCCACCACCGCCCGGCAGCATTTGGATCTTTTATGCATGGTAGGCAAGCTTTTCCACTGAGCTATGACCCCGGACCTGTAACTGGAAAACTTTGAATGCTGCAAGCAGAGTAGTTCATTTAAATTTCACACACTTGCACACTTGTACATGTACATAAACAGTCACACCACACCACACGGCTTACACAGGCCATGATAAGGCTTCCCAAATACCCTAGCATATCTGTTGTCTCTTCCTCTTCCAGACTCCTGGTCCCTATCTGTCTGAAGCCTTCACACATGGCTCCTGTGTCAGATTCTTCTGCACCACCTTCTACTGCTACTGCACAGCTGTCTTGGTTCACGTGCCTAGGTAGGCTGACTCACCTTCTGACTCTATTTAATAAAGCAATTTCCTCCAAAAACCCAGACCAACCTCCTAGCTGTCCCTGAGCCCACACACACATTTGGAACCTGCTTCTAACTAATCCAATCTTTCTTACAGACCAGACCATAAGGCACAAGCAGGGCAAGAGAGCTGTCTGCCTGTTCAACATTACTTCCCCTGTTCCTAGCGTAGTGCCTATGAGTAAGCAGTTGGTAAATGAAATCATCATCAGGGATTGCAGATGGCAAGAGCATGTACCCAGCAACACTAGGCCTGGGTTGATCCCTAGCACCACAAAAGAGTAATTAATACATTCTCCAAAGATTCAATGGCTGAATGGATATACTAAAGTTTTCCACTCAAATTCAACACCTTCTTTTTGTTTGTTTGTTTGTTTGTTTGTTTGTTTGAGACAGGGTTTCACTATGTAGCCCTGGTTGTCCTGGAACTTGTTATGTAGACCAGGCTGGCCTCTGAACTCACAAAGATTCACCTGCGTCTGCCTCCTGAGGGCCAGGATTAAAGGTGTGCATTACCATACCCTTCACTAGACACCTAGTATCTCTTATGAAGCTTTTCACAAGCAGAAATACACAAGCTACATAAAAGGGGTAGGTTATGAGCTCTTTTTGGAGAAAATTTCAGAAGACCTCAGGAGACATATATATATGCAAACTAGAAACAAAAAAGTTTTTAAAATAAGCTTCATACACCACATATTTGAGTAACAACACAGTAATCAAGCTGGTATTCAACTGCATCCTACTGGCTAGCTTTCCTAGCGCTGGAGGGTGCTATGCATGCGAGTAGAAGAAAAATGCAATCTTCAGTCTCATTCGGCCATGACCCCTATGAGCTACAGTAATGACTGGCTTGACAAGATATGCCCCCTGGTACAGCAGTGGCATGAACGTTATGGACATAACTAACCACTTTCTGATTGCATCTAAAGTCTGCTCTGTGAAATGGAACCCATTCCTGGCACTGTTAATAAGACCAAGAATTTGTGGTTAGATAGGTAACAGGCCCAAGAGGAGACTCTAATATTGTTATCTACTAAAAGGACATAGCATTAAACCAACTTTTAATGACTTTTTCCTATACCTATGGTGATATTTTATTTGTATTAAAATGTTATTTGTATGTTAATAAATAAAGTTGCCCGGGGGTCAGAGCTATTAGCAAGCCATAGGAAAGCAGGGCAGTGGTAGCGTACTCGTGTAATTCCAGCACTTGGTAGGCAGAGCTGGGTAAGTCTCTGTGTGTTCAGGGATACAGCCATTATTGGATACACATGCCTTTAATCTTAATACCAATCATGGAAAACCTGGAGGCCTATACAGACAGGCTGTGAGGAGGCGGTCATGTGGTTGGGTTTACAACCAATGAGAAGGCAGGACAGGAACTCTATATAAAGACTTTAACACAGGGGTAGCTCTGGTTCGGAGAGGTAGGACCACCGCAGGAGGAAGGGTAAGTAAGGTTTTAGCTCTTACTTCTGACCTCTTGGCTTTCTTCTTTGCATTGGTTCTGTGTTTCTTATTTAATAAGAAGGTTGGATACATCTACATATACCCATAGATCAGTGCATTGTTTAATACTTATCAGAGAAGTTTCTCAACATTGTGGAAGTCAATGAACACAGAGACCCTCAACTGGTCGATGTGTGGAGACTTAAGAGACTGGAGTGCTCAGTCCTAAATGGAACAAACACATCACACCCTACCCCTAAGGCTCAGGCATCTTAGTGGAAGAGTAGGTGAAAAGACTGTCAAATTCGAGGATGGTAGATAACATCAAGGACACAACGGGACAGTTGCTCATAGGCACTCAGTGACTGTGACAACACCCACAAGACTTGTGCAAGCTCAAGCCAGACAAAATCCCAGCGGAACTGGGGGCAGGGCATGAAATCCCAGCACTAACTGAGAAACTACTGGCATCTGATGGTGGCTCGGAGACGGAGAGTCAGTTTTCCTTAATGGTATGTTCCCTGGCAGGCCCCCACTGGAGAGTGTTTGGGCAACACTAGCTAGAGGAGGAAGAGGAGGAGGAGGAGGAGGAGGAGGAGGAGGAGGAGGAGGAGGAAGAGGAGAACTTCAGGTTGTGTAGGGAGTATTGGTGGAAAAGGTGGATTTGGGAGGAATTGGAGAAAGGGAAGCAGTATGAATATGATCAAAATAAGTTGTGTGACATTCTCAAAGAACTAATAAAAATATTTTAAAAACCAAAGCTTCAGAAGCAAAAAAGGAGTCACGTCTCCCCCGAAGCGCATCATTCACACTCCAACAGCCCTTTGTGGGAGACCAACAAGCCAAGGAGAGCAGAGGAAGCAAGGACCCCCGTGACCTTCCTAAGTCAGAGCCATTCTCTCCCAAAGTAAGCTCACTGTCCAGTGAAAGACAAAGTGCTGAACCACAATTCTCAGCATACCCAGAGGAGCAGCCAGGGGTGTGAGGGCCTTTAATGACGGGCGAGCTGGCTGGCAGGCCCAAAGAACCAGCAGCTATGGCTCCAGTGCCATCCTTAGGCTGCACCCAAGAACCACTCAACAGTACTAAGAGCTCTAACCCAGGGGAGAAAAAAGTAGACTCAACATCAAAACAGATGCTATGGGCATCCCAGAACAAAGATTCCCAAAGACTCTTCTGGAAAAATCTTGGCCCAGTGAAGGATACAGAAAATGGGGGGAAGGAGCATTTTATTGCCCAAACTTCCATACAGAAACGGGAGGAAAAGGAAGAAGGGCATTAAGTTGGGGCTGGAGAAGAAAGTGCTGTGTGTGTGTGTGTGTGTGTGTGTGTGTGACAGCAGGGGGTGTAGTTGATGTAAGGATTTACCATTAAGATGCATACACTACCTCTCAGAGTTTAGGACAACCTCAAAAGGCGAATGGCCTGGTCAAGCCTCCTCTCCTCAGATAAACAGCATGCTAATGGGCTCCCAGAATTCAACATACTGAAGTCCATTTTGGAGTAATCCGCATCTAACCTAATCTCTCTGCTGACATCACTGAAGATCCTTGAAATGAAGGCCTTTTTAAAGGCAACGCCTCCCATCACTCCCTCTGGCAGTGATCAAAGGAGAAAGAAATAACTCAGTGCTAATTACTGCGCTACCCAGAGAGAGATTTCAGGTACAGGCCGACAGGTGTACTTCCGCCTGTGCTGTGCTGTGACCTCCTCAAAGGTACAGTGCCAACTCTTCCCAGCCACGTCTGTCCTTACAACAGAACTGCCCCATCAAAGGGTGGTGGGGAAACTCCAACTCTAGCTCGGAAGATTTCTGGTTCCTGCATTCTCACTGACACGTTCAATGTTAACCCATTTCCCATAATAAAAAGTTTAACTTTAAAAAACGCATCCAGCACAGTTCATATAGCATATAACTTATTAAATATTATTTGCTGATCAGATGAAAGCAACGCTCACTGAGGATCATCTTCACGGCTGAGGAAATAGTTCTAACTTCTAGATAGTTGCGGAAAGTGCTTCCAAGAGCTAGAAGGGGGCAGGGTGCTATTTTTAAGCCATTGTGCTGGGCAAGGCAAGGACACGGTTGCTAATATCTGCATTCATTTTATGACAGAGTCTGGAACAAAAGAAATACTCGGAGAGAAAAGCCGAACGCCAGCGCACACTTCGGGGGCTTCCGACTGCGGAGCTCCGCTACCTCGGTCTGCAGGGGGATGACCCTGAAGGTGCGTAGGGAGAGTCTGTGGAGACTCTAGAATACCAGGGGCTGCTGGCACTCCCTCGGCACCTTGCCACAGGCCTAGGGCCCAGGCGAGGCCGCCCCCCACCCCACCCCCGCGCCCAATTCGCGAGACTGGGGTGGACCCCGTGGCGGGCCCGGGGTGCCGGCTGCACCCCAATGTCGGTCCGGGCCGCGAGCCGGCGGAGGGCGCCGCCTGGCGCACCGCGCACACGGAGGCAGGCCCGCACTCACCGCTCAGGTAGTTGGTCCACTTGTACAGCACGCCCTCCATGGCGCCCGCGGGCCCCACGCCGCCCCGGCCCGCCGCGGGGACACCCGACCGGCCTCACATCCTGGGCCCGGGGGCGGGGTCACGGCGACAGCCGAGGAGCACCAGCTTCGGGTCCGAGGTCTGCGCCTGCGCCTGCGCCAGGCGCGGTCGGTCGCTGTGGACGAGGCGGAGCGGCCGCCGGAGCGAGGCGAGGGAGGCGCGGCCCCTGAGGCGGCGGTCGCGGGCAGGCGCCTTTCCGCGGCCACGGAGCCCACAGCGCCCGCCCCGGCGCGCTCGCGCATGCTCATGGCGCCGCGCGCGCGCGCGTGCGCGCCCCCTCCCCAATCCGCGCCGCCGGGGTCTGGCCGCGCCGCCGTGGGGCTGGAGGGCGGGGCGCGGATGCGGACGTGGGTAGCGGATCACCCCTGGATTCGAGTCCCCAGGGGTTCAGCTTTGAAGGTCAAGATTGTCAGTGTAGAATGATTCGGGCCGAGACCCGGAACCCTCGGATGAGTCAAGTCTGTACGGCGTTTCCGGCTGCACTCCGGTGCAAGGCGCTATCCAAACTGCAGGGCCTCTTGAGCGGTCTTTGGACAGCTGGCGTTGACTTCACCTGGGGTTCTGTTAAAAATACCATCTCGCCCGGGTTCCAGACCTTTTGGATCAAAGTCTGCATTTTCGCAAGCTCCCCAAGGGGGATGCCTATGCACATGAAAGTGTGAAAATGCGCTGTTGTTAGGATTTTTAGCCAAGAAAAGTGTTAATCACAGGTTGAGTGGAAGGGAAATGTTAGAAAGAGCACAATCCAACCCAAATGCTAATGTCACAGAAGTATGCTCTGAAGTGCTAGGGTGTGGGCATTTTGTTTTTCCTTAATGTAAGGATGACAGGTTTAGTAAATAATATATAACTTAATTGGTTATTTACTTGAACTGCACACCTTGCTTAATGCCCTATTCGCTTTTATTTTAATCTAGAGATCCTCGTTTGATGATTCCCAGTTTCTTTTCGGGCCACTACAATGGACTAGTTAGGGCAACAATGTAAAACTAGGAACTTGAAGCTGTGTAATTTAAACACGAATGCTATTTCTTCTTTAAAGAGAGATGCCCTTAGCCAATATTTACTCAATGCTAAGGCCACTCAAGTGATGAATCATAGCAGTCATTAACAGTGATGTTTGTGGAATGAATCGTCTAGTCTTAAGGTGGAGTGCAAATTCTTTGTGGCCAAGTGGCCTTAAGCAGGACACTAACTTCTAGCCTAAATTTGTTTATCTTCTGTCCCAGCTAGTTTTATGCCAGTTTGACACAAGATAGAGTAATTTGGAAAGATGAGCTCTGAACCTTCATAAGATTTGTCTGTAGGCAAGTCTGTAGTGCATTTTCTTAATTACTGATTGATGGGGGAGGGCCCAGCCCATTGCGAGTGGTGTCATCACTGGGCAGGTGGTCCTGGGTGCTATAAGAAAGCAGGCTGAGTAAGCCAGTGAGCAGCATCCCTCCATGGCCTCTCTATTAGTTCATGCTTCCCGACTCTTGTCTTGAGTTCCTGTCCTGACTTCCCTGGATGATGGACTGTGATATGAGGTGTAATCGATAAAAATCCTTTCCTCCCCAAGTTGCTATTGGTCATGATGTTTTAACCCAAGAATGGAAAGCCTAACATAGACACTGTCTAAATGGTAAAAAAAAAAAAAAAAAAAAAAAAAAAAAAAAAGTTAAATTAGTGAAGATCTTGCACCAGAATGTGCTTTATGAACTTTAGCATTCTTACTCATCCTTAGAGTTCACGTTCTAAGTTAGTAAGCCACGGTACTGAGCCATTGTTTGTGGTATCTTGGAGGTGGGTGCTCTCCAGTATCCGGTCTTTCCAAAAGACCCTTGTCACCTGGCCCGGGGCTCTTCAGTGGCTCAGTTGGAGCCCTTCACGAAGCCCTCCCCCAAGGAGTTTCCTGATAGCTCTGCACTAAGCTGCTCTCCCAAGGAGGGAGAATTTCTTAATCCACGGGCTCTAGGACTTCTCGGAGAGGCTGGATCCGGCGGTCTGACCCAACACCACTCCGAAGCACTAGACTGTTGCAGCGCCATTGGTTGGAGAGGAGCCTGATGGACAGCACCGCCAGCCAATGGAAGACAGCTCTTCCAAAGCAGTCGCCTTATCAGAGCCAATCACGTTGGGGTGGGACTTTAACTCTTTAAAGGAGAGTTCTCAGTGTGTGGGAAAGTTGGTAGTGAAAGTGCCACGTCTTCTTGGGAGGGTTGAGGGAGTCCTGAACTTACCCGAGGCCGACGTCGCTTTAGGCACATTTTAACTCTATGAAGTCGGGGGCCCTTCCTCTGCTTTGGTAACATGAGGTTTTTCTTGTGGAACGCGATCTTGACACTGGGGGTCATGGCTGTGAGTGGAGCTTTGATCCCGGAGCCAGAAGTGAAAATCGAAGTTCTCCAGAAGCCGTTCATCTGCCATCGCAAGACCAAGGGAGGGGACCTGATGTTGGTCCACTACGAGGGCTATTTAGAAAAGGACGGCTCCCTGTTTCACTCCACGTAAGTAATTATGCCTCTTAGGCAGAACGATAAAGGACCCACCCAGTCACACCAGCCCTCTTGTAAAGCTAACAGTTCCTTTACCTCAGAAAACAGAAAAAAACTGAAACACCTGCTTACCTTTGGGGGGGAAAATTGTCAAAAGCCAGTTCTAGAGAACAAGGCCTTGAAAGAATTTTCTGGAAACATGTAGTCTTCGTAAGTTAATTTCCTTTAACTTTATTCTTTATAAAATTAGATCTAGAATATTTGAAGTTTTACAGAAATACTTAGGTTATAATTAAGCAGTAAGTAGAAAAGGCTTAACAGAATTTTCTATCTCAAACTCCATTCCTTAGGTAAAAATACCTGATTCCACTTTTAATTGGGCATAAGAAATACTAAAATGTGTCATTTTGCTTCAAGAGCGAAATGCACAATCATCTATTGGCCCGCTTCTAAAAGATGCACAAGTGCTATTTCATTGACCTGTTTAACTTTCTGGCAGGTGGCATTTTGGTCAAAGTACAGGATGGTGATTTCAGGAGTCATTCCTTCTAGAAACTCAGGCTTCATTGATGGAGTAGGTGTGGTTATAGAAGTCATAGTGGGAGGATTTCCAGGTGCTTTGCGCTAGCATTTCTTTTCTATAAACAAAGAAAGGCGGCAGGTAATGTTCACAGGTGTAATGATTTCCATTCTGAAAGTATTTAATGAGCACTTCCTTAGGGACATTCAGAAAGTTCACCTTCTAACCATCTGCATCCATCCATTCATCCAGCCTGTAAACACTCACTAAAAGCTGCATTTCAGGTCCTGGAGATGCAAAGTTTGCTAAAAACAAGTTCTGGTCCTCCAGCAGTACTCCATGTGTAGGGCGGGGGAGATAGGAAAGGACTCAGTTGGTGGAGAGTGCAGAATGTTGAGAGCACTGGCAAAGTGTGGGGAGCCTGTGGTTAGTTGTGCTGAGCGGGGAGGGTAAAGATGGCATTCAGAACAGAAGAATAGCCAGGAAAGTGATGAGTGGAGATTATCAAGGTGGAGCTGGAGGAGGACTTTGCAAATGAGGGAATCATAGGAGCTAAGCCCCAAGCTTTACCTCACCTTAGGTCCTTAGATTGGTTTTGTTTTAATAAACTGCTTTGAGACATGGTCTTCTGTGAGGCCTGAGGGTAGTGGATGACACTTCTCTCTGAACACTGTTCTGGTAAAAGGTTCCCAAAACAGGTTGTCATCGCTTTGTCCTTGCCAGTAAGGCCAGGGCACAGCAGTTAGTAACCGATACTGTGACATTGCACTTCAAAATTTCAGTTACATCCTTGCTTTCAGTCTGATCTCTCTCCTGACTAGCCTAATTTCTTTCCCACCTCAGGGCCAACAACCTGGGCAGATATTTTGTAGCAGTTCACTGCTAATGTTCTGGTACTTGGGGAGGGGCCTGTTGTCATGCCGCCATTGATGTAAAGTCTTAGGCATGGCTTACTGGGTATAACTGGTATATTTAATGGAGAAATACCACTAAATAAGTCTCCGAAGAGTGTTTTGTGTTGCCAGAACCATCATGTGTGATGACTAGCTTAGCTGTAATAAATGTGGCCAAATGTAGTCAGTGCAGATGATTGCGGCTTCTCCATTCTTTTTGCCCCGTGATCATGAAGGAACATGCAGTACCACAAGAAGGAATGCCATTTACCCAGATTTTGTAACCATGGTACCCATAAACCTAGCACAAGGACATTTTATTCACACCAAAAAGTTATCCTGAAATAAAACACTTTCTTTGCTCTCTAGTAGTTGAACTAAGCTGGCCTCTCAGGATGCTAGGACATCTTCCTGTTCCTTTCCCTTCCAGAACTTGAGGGGCTACTGCTCCAGGATTTTCTGAGTAGCCCCATCGTAGATCTTTGGAGAGGATCTGGGTGTAAGTGGAGATTTAGGGGGAAAGCAGCCTTTTCCATGCATCGGAACCATCAGTCAACTGGCCATCAGGAAGGCATGTAGACAGGAAGGAAGATACTCCTGTCTCGGGGCTGGAGAGATGCCTCAGTGGTTAAGAGCACTGGCTGCTCTTCTAGAGGATCGGGGTTCAATTCCCAGCACCCACATGACAGCTCACAACTGTCTGTAACTCCAGTTCCAGGGGTTCTGACAACTTCACACTAATGCACATAAAATAAATTTAAATAGATTTAAAAAGAAAGAAAGAATGGACTAATTACTTTGTAAAAAACAAAACAAAACAAGGAAGAAAAGAAAAGAAAAAAACATAAGATACTCCTGTCTCTGTGTCTGGGTACAAATGAACCTTCATGTTTTAGCAGTAATTCTCCTAGCCTTTTATCTTCCTTCTCAAACTCAAGACATTCCCTGAATTTTTCCCTCCTGGGAAAGTATAACTTTGTCATTAAGACCTTGAACTGAGAGGTTAGGTATATCTGAAGTCAAATGCTTGTACACTTAACCTCCATTTTCTCTGTACAAAGGGATAATACTAGATTAGCTGGCCCTCTGTCTGCAGGTTCTGTGTCCCTTGATTCAAATCAAGTATAGATCTAGAATATTTGAAATGTGTGTGTGTGTGTGTATGTATGTATGTATGTATTGAACTCTTGCAGACTTTGTATTGTCATTATCCAATATAACAGCTATTTATATAGCATTCACATTATAGTATGTATAATCTAAAGATGGTTTAATGTATACAGTAGGTTATGTGCAACTGCTGTAGATTTGAGCTCCTTGTGGTTTGAGAGACAGAGGATCAAATCCTGGGGATAATCTTCTAAGAATACTTATCAACAACAGGATTATCACTGAAGTTAGAGACAAATTTGCAACAATACTTGCTTTAAAGTACATGTTCAAATTAATTGTTATTATTATTTTTACTATTTCCTCTGCCCTTCTCAGGCTGACTCAATTTATGAATTTTGCATCAAGAAAAGTGAGCAGGGAATTAATTGAATTGCTATGAAGTAAACTTGGGTTTGTGTGTTTCCAATCCAAGAATGGCTGTTTTCTTTAGTTTCCAACGTCATCAGCTTAACCACTGGTGGGTAGACAAAATGAAGCATAGCAGTGATCATTGTTTTAAAGTCACGAAAAATATCTCTCATGTATGGAGTGCTCATCTAGCATTCATGGGACTCTGGCTTAAATTCCTAATGGGGGAAAAAAGATCCAAAATTATTTAAATTCGGATATGTTTTCTTTCTGGTAGCCACAAACATAACAATGGTCAGCCCATCTGGTTCACCCTGGGCATCCTGGAGGCTCTCAAAGGCTGGGATCAAGGCTTGAAGGGGATGTGTGTGGGAGAGAAGAGAAAGCTCATCATTCCTCCTGCCCTGGCCTATGGCAAAGAAGGAAAAGGTAAAATTGTGTATCCATCACTGTTGTGCGTCTCTGAATGTTTCCTCCCTCCCAAATGGAAACCCACCAACTCACTTTAACAATGCAACAAGAAAGGCCATCCAACAAGTGTCTTGATGATTTGGACCTTTGGAATATAGATCATTGGATATAATTTGATATGTGGCTGTGTATATATATGTAGTTTACAGCCGGGAAGTCTTCCACACTGTCGATCTCATTGGGAGTCCTTTCATTCTTGCTTTCAAATATATCTGTAAAGTTTTCAATAGCTTATTTTAATTTTACTTACTTATTTTTGTGTTTTCAAGACAGGGTTTCTCTGTGTAGCACTGGCTGTCTTGGAACTTGCTCTGTAAATCAGACTGGCCTTCTAACTCAGAGATCTGCCTGACTCTGCCTTGTGAGTGCTGGGATTAAAGGTGTGTGTCACCACTGCCCAGCTCAATAGTTTATTTTAAAATAATATATTGACATGAATTAAAAATAATTCTCCTTGTATTGCAAGCTGGCTGGCTGGTCCACACAGTTTTTGTGCCAACTGGATCCAAGGCACAGATGCACCCGGTGTTTAGGCTGAGTTTACACAGCTCTCCAAGGGCTGTTTGGTGATGCTTATCAGCTGGCCCCAGATGTCTCTTCACTGAAATCTGCTCTGAGCCAATGGCCAGATCTGAAGAGACAGGTTAGTGGACCAGGATGTCTACCACTGTATTGTTTCTTACATTAAAGTGATTGAAACCAACCTGAGTGTTATCATCAGAGGTTAGCCAAATATAAGCTACATATGAAATGTGTGTAACGTAAAAGTAGCAAGTAGATTTTCTGTATGACCAGCTTTCCCTGTGAGTATAAGGGGGAGTATATGCACACTGAAAGTGTATCACAATGAATAAAATATTCATAGTGTATTGTGATTCTGAGAATTATATTCATTTCTGATTCTATCTTCCAAATTCTCTTTGAAGAAAATGTAGTACTTACACAGTGAAGAAAAAATTGTGAGAAGCTATCAGAAGCAGATAGAGAATCACTCTGATGTGGTTTAAATAGATTTCACACCATTCTTCAGCAAAGCATTTCCACTGACAAAGTAGGGACCAAGATTCCTTGCCCCGGTTTCCTAAGGAGGTTAAGTACTATATATGAATATGATATACTCCAAAGTAGGACTGGCTATCTAAGCCATGGTCCACAGGCTTGGTTATTAACCAAATTCAGTTCTGATTATATTCTTCACAGAAAGAAATCCAGTAGTTAGGAAAAAAGGTTTCCCTAGTGCCTAGATGTAGTCTTTCTTTCCTGTGTCTTTGTTCTTTTACTGTTAACTTTATGTATGCAGCGCGGTCGTAGTTGTCCATGCATTAACTCAGCTGTACTTCATAGCATGCAGTCATTCCTTCAGTGTCATGAAACTAATTCTTCTACTGTGTATTTGCCACTAGTTTTGTAGTGTTTTAACACACGCTTGCATGCCTCCTTGGAAAGATACCAGCTTTCCCACCGACCTAAGTGCATGTCCCTTCCCTGTCTCCATCATGAACGGTAAGCTTTGGCTCGCACTGTGAGTGTTATCCTCTTAGAAACTGACTAATGGCCTTTCATGAAACTTTGAGGAAAGTTCCATGGGGACATAGCTAAGACTTGTTTAATGAGTGTGCCCAGACCTTTCTATTAAATAGAGTTATAAGAAAGCTAATTTGAAAGTTTGAAAAAAAATGCCCCAAATTACAAGAAGAGTTTGTTTCTTTGATTATTAGTTGGGCTTTTTTGTTTGTACCTGAGATTTTAACAGGTTTGTTGTTGTTTTGTTTTGTTTTTTTAAACTCTTGAAGATTTGTTAGCTTCCTTTACAGAAGTTCATTTGGATTTTCCTTTTCTGATGAAATGTCTTCAACAAATGCATGAAGTTCTATGTCAGGGAGGTATTTCCTAAGTTGTTGAAAATTTTGAATGTTCCTTTATTATTTTTAAGGCCTGTAAGAAAATTATATCTTAATAACTTATATCAGGCTCTTACTATTTACTAAGAATAATACTTAGCATTTTAGTTTTGCGTAAGTTTTTGCCCTTTATCCTTCTCATAGACTCCTAAGGCAGAAAATGTTATCAATCTCATTTTACAAAGAAGGAATTGATGACTAGAGGCAGCAGATGTGAACAGAGCTCACACTGTTCTATACTGCCTCCCAGTGGTAGGCATAGCAGCACCAACCCTGTGTACTTGAAGGTCAAGACTTTCTGATCTAAATTAGTAAATCTCTTGTAATATAATTAAGTCTGAATTGCTCAAAGCCCTTTAAAAGTCATTCTTGACATGTAACATGAAGGGCCTTAATTATATTTGAAACTTAGCATCGGAGCTTTTGGGAACATCTGCATATGTGCATATGTTTTATCACTACTCCACACTAGAGTCCTTTGTTCTGCCAGTTTGGGTAACTCCTTCTTTAAGTCTGCTTTTCTTTCCCGGGTAAAGTGTAATTATAGAATGAGTGATTTCCACCGCCTGCGACAATCCTAGAGGGCCTTTTCATTTAATGTAGTTAAAATGTCTGTTACCACAATTGATTTTGTTATGAATACTTTCAGATCTTCTAAATAAAAATTTCCCTATCTCCTCATATCAGGCAAAATCCCCCCAGAGAGCACACTGATATTCAACATTGACCTCCTGGAGATTCGAAATGGCCCAAGGTCCCATGAATCGTTTCAAGAAATGGATCTCAATGATGACTGGAAACTCTCTAAGCATGAGGTGACCCTACCCTCTGCCTCTGTCCTGTTTTTCTTCTACTCTTCAGAAATACATTAGCTGCTGGGAGAAGGAAACTCCGTTTTCTTCAGTGGAGTGATCCTGAGTGTTAGTTGTACTCCAGGGCAGGCCCCATGCTCAGGAGTAGTGGCCAACACAAATCAGACTCCATGGTTTTTAATGGCTTTTTTCTTTTTTTTTTTTTTTTTTTTTTTTTTGGTTTTTTGAGACAGGGTTTCTCTGTGTAGCCTTGCGCCTTTCCTGGAACTCACTTCGTAGCCCAGGCTGGCCTCGAACTCACAGAGATCCGCCTGGCTCTGCCTCCCGAGTGCTGGGATTAAAGGCGTGCGCCACCACCGCCCGGCGGCTTTTTTCTTTTTAAGAGAGAAAAGGAACATGAAATTGGGTGGAGGGAGGGGTTGGGAAAAATATGATAAAATATACTATATAAAATTCTCAAAGAATAAGTAAATAATAAGGAAAATTTCTTTTTATTTAGATAAAAAATTATTCACAGCTTTTCCTAAAGTGCTTCAAAAGTTGCCTTTTTTGTAGGCAACCCTTGCTTAGGGAACTGTGTTGACTGAGAAAGCATGTCCAGTCTCTGGCCACTTCCTTTTTCCCTCTGCTTAGTGTTGACTGTGTCTCGTCTTCACCCTTGGCTCTTGGGAAGTTTCGTTTTTTCATGACCGTTCTGAGTGTAGGAGAAACATGTAAGTCCCGAGAAGTTCCCCATGTGGACAGTTCCTGTTTGAGATGGCGGGCTGGCTGTGAGTGTGTTTCACAGTACTCTCCAACACGCAGTTTACGTGACCAAGTTTGTTAAGTTAGCTCCTGGGTTTCTGGATTTTCCACAGGGGGATCTTCCTCAGCCATCTGAAGTCCTAACCTTTGGGGTGGGAGGAAGAAGGATTTCTCCACATCCCAAGCATTCTCAGTCACTGGCTTTTGTAGAGAAGGAAGTGGAGGCAGACACATGCCCTGCGGTTCCTATTATAGACCCCAGTGTGCCATGTCCGGGTGGATGGATGCTCAGTCTTTTTTTTTTTTTTAAGACAGGGTTTCTCTGTGTTTTGGTGCCTGTCTTGGATCTCGCTCTGTAGACCAGGCTGGCCTCGAACTCACAGAGATCCTCCTGGCTCTGCCTCCCAGCGATGTTCAGTCCTTTTTAATGTTTTGATGAGTTTCTCTCTCAGAGCCAGGAAGTGGTGTCTCAAACAAAGTTGTTGGGAGCCAAGAGATCTTCCTGGACACTAGTGGGTTTGTTTCTTTGTAATTTTGTTTTGCTGTGTGTTGTTTTGATTGAGATAGGAGCTCCCAGTGTTCAGGCATGCCTTGACTTGGTGAACCTTCTGCCTCAGCTTCGTAAGCACTGGGATTTAGAATCTGTGTCACTGAGTTTCATATGATGTGGTGTTAACAGTTACATACCTCCCCCAACACCCAAGATAAGTTGTAATTTTCTCTCACTAAAAGAAATTATGTAACATATTCTTGTGACTTAAAAAAATCAACTGATACAAGTTAATATATATTAAGAAGTCTTGGGCTGGGCATGTAACTGAGTTGGCCAAGCACTGCTTAGAATGTGTAAGGCTCTGAGATCACTCCTCAGCACCTCAGAAAACAAAACAAAAAAGTGTGTTTATTGTGCCCATGTCATCTTCATCCTTCACTGGATCCCTCCACCCCATCCAGGTTTATTATTTTCTAATGTATTTTTCTGGTGTTTAAGCAAATATTTATCATTAGTTGACTTACACAAAAGGCAGAAAAAAATGTACATACTATTTAGTAGTTTCCTTTATTCACAAACCATATCCTGAGATGGATATAATAACTTCCGTTTCCTCCTCCTTGCCCCCTTTACCTCCCTTAGCCCTCTCCTTACTTTCATTCCAACTACATGACATCACTGTACCCTAAACAAATGCTATCTGTTTACATGTCAGAGTTTGCGGAGGGAGGACTGAGATCCCTGGTCCAAGTTGGTGGAGTAGGGATGTGATGACACGTGATGGTACAGGCTGGGTTGCATTTTAGTGATTCATGGGGGTTGCAAACAGCATTTTGGCTATATGTATATTTATGTGTGTGGTTTGTATATATGGTTCATGCCTGTAAATGTGCAGTGTGTACACCCAGGGGTGTACATGCAGAGGCCAGAAGAACAGGACATTGGGTGTCTCCCCTATTGCTGTCTGCCTTATTACCTTGAGATTCTTACTGAACCTTTGGCTAGGCTGGCTGGCTAGCAAGCTCTTGGGATCTCCCCTTTTCCTTTCCACAAAGCTGGGGTTACAGGTACATGCAGTTTCTATAGTGCCGGGGATTTGAACTTGGGCCCTCATGATTACACAGCAAATGGTCTTATCCACTGAGCTATGTCCCCAGCCTTGGATTGTGTTTTTAAAGACAATAGGAAACTATAGCATAGGCACTCCTACGAGACTCTGCTTTGGTTTTCAAGTTTGCAGGGTCCTGATCAGATCCTGCTGATGTGGCATGGTCACAGCCAGTTACATAGTTTTTCTACTCATAGCCATGGGTTCAGATGAAAAGGGAGAATATAATCTTACTTTAGAAGGCGTGTCTGGAATTCTGACTCGAAACCAGTGTATCCAAAGGCAGCCATCCTTCAGGCGCGCAGCGTTGTTTGGATTCTGGCAGGAGCGGGCAGTATGCATGCACTGTTGACCCAAGCTGGCCGAGGAGCACAGCTACAGGACAGTTTGTCCCAACAGCCACTCTGTAGGCCACGCTGCTGACTGTGCCTTATTTGCTTATTTGCTCCATCAGAGAAAGCTCTGTTCCTTGGCAGCCACTTTTGACAAAGCTCTGGTTATTTGCAGTGAATTTCGGAGAAAGGTCTATTGAAGGAAAGCCAGAAATACTTAGAAGCTCTCTGGGGAGAATACTGGAAATGACAAAATATTTTTTTCACAACTGTTACACAGGCATTAGGTGAACTTAAGCCAAGCTCTTGTCATGACTTGACTCGTTTCTAGAGGTTCTCTGATAGGGCCAGAAAAGCATAGATTTGAGGCATCCCCCATACACATGTTTCAGGGATCCAAAGTAGAGAAATTTGGAGAAGTCCCAAATGGATATGGCCTTCAAAATCAATTTCCTTATACGCCTAGTCATATATTAGCGTGGGAATTCTGCTGGTTAGAATGGATGCGCTGTCTTCACGGTGCACGCTTCTTACAGAGCTTTGCTCTGGGGAGTTGCTGCCCCTTTGTGGAGCACAGTGGCACCTACGGAGTGTGATCTTGTGCCCGGTAGATCTGCGTTGCCTGCGTGTAGCCTGTGACAGACAGTGGCCAGCTGAACTTTCTGTGGATAAGCACATTTTAGAAATTGGAACCAGAGGAGCAGTGGGAGAATTTGATGAGAGAAAAGAGGTGACCAGGCAGGGGCAAAGGGGGAGGGGAGGAAGTAGAGGGGTGACTTCTGTGGTGAACCACTTAGAAATAAACCCTGGACAGACTTAGATGGGGCACGATGTAAAAGGTGTCAAGCATATTATGATATCTTTTTTGTTCTCCTAAAAATTGGCTTTTCTTTACGTGATTTGATTCTAGCACATAATTATTTCAAACCTCTTGATTATAAAAGTTTAGAATCTTTCTAAGAGCATTTTCTGATATGTATATATAATTTATATATATTTTAAAACAGCTTTTGATTAATATAATTTTTTTGTATTTTGTGTGTGTGTTTTTTTTAATTTTTGTTTTTGTTTTTGTTTTTTTAATTTGAGAAAGGGTTTCTCTATGTAACTAGCCTCGATGGCCTAAACTTACTATGTAGACCACGCTGGTTTCACATTCAGAGATCCATCTGTTTTTGCTGGCATTAAAGGCATGCACTATCATGCCTGGCAGTATAGTATTTCTTATTACACACTTATCTCTTAGTTTCAGCAAAGTGAATTATAGCATTCAAGTAAGCCAGGAAACATGTAGCATAATTTGTTTAAAGTTGTCTTTGGTTATTGAGAGTCAAAAACAAAAAAGTACATAAAAACTTCAGTTCACTCAATGGGCGGTGGTGGCACACGCCTTTAATCCCAGCACTCGGAAGGCAGAGCCAGGCGGATCTCTGTGAGTTCGAGGCCAGCCTGGTCTGTACAGAGCGAGTTCCAGGACAGGCACCAAAACTACACAGAGAAACCCTGTCTCGAAAAAATAAAACAACAACAACAACAAAAACAAGAATGTGTCTCTTGGGATGGAGAGATAGCTCGGTGGTTAAGAGCACTGGCTGCTCTTTCAGAGAACCCAGGTTCAATTTTCAGCATCCACATGGCTCACAACTGCCTGTAATTCCAGTTCCAGCTGATTCAATGCCCAATGGCCTCTTTTGACCTCTGTGGCATCAGGCACGCATGTGGTGCACATACAGACATGCAGGCAAGCACTCATAAAATAAAAATAGATCTTAAAAAATTTCCTCTTCTATAAGTTAAACTTTAAAAGAACATTAAAAAAATCAAATCTCACCAACTTCTGGAAGATTTTATGATGCTAATAATCTCTTTAAAGTATTTTTTCAGTAGTTTTAGTATAATGCTGTGAAAATGTTAGCTAAACCTAGTGAACAATGTAATAGGCATGGCATATTTAAACATTTTTAAAGTTATGTTAATTCTGTCAACACTTTAAAATGCTGCCCAAACATTTTTTAAAGCCTACATTTTTATTTTCAATTAAATCTATACAAGAAGCAATCTAAAAGCCGAATTGAATAAAACACCAAGACAAACATGAAATTTCATAAAACTTAATGTCCTGTTTCCTCTACTTTCAGTGAGTGCATGAGCACATTTGCCATAGGCATCCCATGGTGAGCAGATCAGTCAAGCTAGTTCACCACCATGTTTGGTTCTCTTGAGAACATGAGATGTCACACGAAACGCTGTGTCAACGAGACTGTACTGTGTGGAGTTAATAAATAAGGCATTTCTGTCCTGAAGAATAGTAATAAATACCATTCAGAGTCAGAGAGTATTGGTAGATAATCCAGGAATTAAAAATGCCCCTAGATGGGAGATGAGGAGATAGCTGTTGGTGGAGTGCTTGCTACTCAAGCGTGATGACTTGAGTCCCAGACCCAGAATCCAAGGTGGGACAAAAGTTGGGTGTGGAAGCGTGTGCGTATAATCTCAGAGCTGGCAGGAGGAGACCGGGAGATCCCTGGAGATTGCTAGCCAGTCCCAGTGGCTGACTCTGCCGTTCCAGGTGAGAGACCATGTCTCAGAAAACAAGATTCTGAGAAATGATATCTGAGGTTGACTTCTGTATACATGCATGCACATGTGCACACATGCACAACCCCACTTGAACAAGCACATGTACAAACACCTCAGAACACACACAAATTTAAATGAGCTGTGAAATAAACATCCTTAAATGTTGACTTCTTAATGTGCAACTATGAGAATGAAAGGGAATCCGGCTTAAAACAAGCAAACGGGCTGGGGAGATGGCTCCATGCCTCAGGTGCTTGCTGTACAAGCATGAGGACCTGAAATGGGATCCCTAGTACCATGGGAAAAGCAGAGTGTGGTAGTGCATGCCTGCGATCTGCCTGCGATCCCAGCCCTGGGGAGGCAGAGAGACAGGGAGCTCCCTGGGACTTGTCAGCCAGCCAGGGTGGAGATCAGGGAGTTCCAGGCTCAGTGAGAGACTGCATCTCAAACAGTGAGGGAGTAAGAGTGATGGAGGGACACACACACACACACACACACACACACACACACACACACACACACACGCACGCACATGCACACATACGCGCGCGCGCACACATACACAATTTTTTTTAAAAAAGGCAACAAGGCAGGTAATAGGTTTTAATAAAAACGTTGTATTTGATACAAAGATTATGTAAATATATATGTGTGTGTATATATGCATAATACAAGCCATTATTTTCACTTCTGAAAACTATTTGATGTCTCCATCATACCTGTAAAGCAAAGGTTGTTTTAACTCCTTTAGGAATGGGTCACAGAGTTGTTTTGTACTTGCTCTATATCATTACAGTGATACAATGTGTGTGGATTATTAACGAGAGCCAGTTGTTAACGAGAGCTGTTATTTTCTAGGTTAAAGTGTATCTAAAGGAGGAGTTTGAGAAGCACGGTGCAGTGGTCAATGAAAGCCACCATGATGCTTTGGTGGAGGATATTTTTGATAAAGAAGATGAAGACAAAGATGGATTTATATCGGCTAGAGAATTCACCTATGTACATGACGAACTGTAGGGACGCACCTGCCATTGTATATGCGTCCATCTGTAAAGGGAAGGCGGCACCTTTAAAGAAGTTGTAGTTTTTAACATTAACATTCTGTTCTTGCTTTGTTTGTTTTTAGTTTTATATTATTTTCTGTTGTTTAAGAAACCCCATTGACTTTGTAAATATCCACATATTTCTGTTAAGTTATTGGGAAGAAACAGTCATCTTTGAGTGGAAGACTTCTGGGCTGTTCCCATGTTCGCACGAAGCTTGTTCGCTTGCTTCCTTCTAACGGTGACGTATCGCAACTGGAAACATGCCGCAACCTATGAGCAGGTTGGAGCACAATCAGTTCCCTGCACTGCGGCCTCTTTCTGTTTCCTCTAAGTTAGATGACTGATGTGTTTAAAAGCTTTTACAGTAGTCCAGGGCTTGCTACTTTCATGTTATAGTGAAGTAGCCTTTTCTTTACCTGCCTTTGAGTCCCTGCTTGAGGAGACCTGTGGTGGCCCCTCATTCCTTAACAGTTATGGCCTCACTGTGGAGATGTGCAATGTTGGATGAATGATGGAGTTAGCAACTCATGAATAGGTGTGCATTGAAATGTTCTGCCAAGACTTCATAGTGGCTAATGGCCTAGTAAAATAAATCAGACAAATAATTTATGTGTTTGTTTCCTTGTGATCAATGCTTCAAACTATGGTAGGCATGGCAGAGAGTTGTATTTAGAGTCAATGTTTACTTTAAGGCTACCAGATTAGCCTCCTGGTTCTTTAGTGTGTAAAGTTTACAGCTGGTATATTACTTTGCAGTAACACTAAACCATGAGAGAAGTTGGTAAATCAACTAGACTTTTCCTGTTTCTGACTCATTGAAAATGAGGCCGGCCTATACCAACTACTATCAATACACTTATCCTTGGTTTGAAAATTGATTTTTATCATTTTATCTCAAATTGGCTTCTAAAAATGATGACTAATTCTGTTTTTCAAATTGATTTTAATCAAATTGGTTGTTAGCTTTTTTTTTTAGAGATTTATTTATTATATATACAGTGTTCTATCTGCATTTATGCCTGCAGGCCAGAAGAGGGCACCAGATCTCATTACAGATGTTTGTGAGCCACCATGTGGTTGCTGCTGGGAATTGAACTCAGGACCTCTGGGAGAACAGCCCATGCTCTTAACCACTGAGCCATCTCTCCAGCCCCGTGTTATCTCAAATACTTACAACAGACTTCCCAGAGCTCCATCTGTTAGAAATAGTTTCTCCTAGTTTATAAGAGCGGATCGAGTGCACTATTGTCCAGCTGTTGCTGTTCTGATGCCCATGGGAAGCTGCTGGTCTTACAGTAGTTCTTTCTGGAGGAGAGGGGTTATCTGGAAGTTGATTGAGGAGCTCAGCGCTGGTGGTTAAGCTGTAGATGTGCCTTCTGTCCCTGAGTTCACTTTTTTATTTTCTGTTAAGGAAGAAGCAGCGAGTTTGCTTGTATCTGTTGGGCCCCATTTCCCTTTGCGTCTTTACCCCCGGGGACAGTTCTGGCTGTTCCTGGCAGGTCACAGCTCTCCTCAGGATTCAGGAATGTGTGTTTTCATAGAATAATCATCACATTGACTCTGAATTGCCTCAGTCATCCTCCACCCCCTGTGACCTGTGAGAAGGTTCAGATACATGTCTTAGTTCACCCATTCCTATCACTTCCTGTTGTTTGTAGAAGTTGCTAATTATGCATTGACCTTTTCCCCACCAAAACATGCTATTGGGAAGAACATACTCTAAGACCTGTTCTTGAAGATGCCGGGTATAACCATAAAATGGTTGTCAGCATTAGCATTTTTTCTGAACCTGGGGAGGCTGTGAGAAGGCCTGTGACTGTCATGACAGGACAGTGGTGTGGCTTGAAGGCTGCTTTCACCAAAGCTGCTGCCGCCATCTGTGCTGGAGCAAGGACAGAGAAAGAATCTTGATTATTCAATTGTATAAATTTGTATCAGTCCTCAGCTAAACATTCAAACAAGTATGAAAGAAAGATATACCAGTAATAATGGTTGTATAAGCCATCTGCCTTTTTTTTAATAGCAGTATCTTTGCACCCTCCCGTTAGTGGGAAAAATCAAACACCAACTGTGACTTCACATGTATGTAATTTGACTCATAACTGTTCCATGTGTCATATTTAAATTTCTATGTCTATGTGATACTCTTTGTGAAAATAAAGTTTATTTGGGAAACAATTGGTTTTGTAAAAAAATGTTTCGCATATGTACATGTGTGTGTTGTTTGTATGTGTATTCACATATGTTGAGGGCACAGATGTGTGTGCAGGTACAGGTGTCTTCCTGGATTTTTCCACCTAATACGTGAAGGCAGGATCTCTCACTGAACCTGGAGCTCTTTCGTGTGGCTATCCAGCTTGCTCCAGGAGTTCTGTCTCTGCCTCCCATATAGTGGGGTTACACCTAAACCGCTTTGCCCACTGGCCTTTTTATGTGGGTTCTGGGAAGCTGATGTGCAAGGCAGGTGCTTTACCCTCATTCACCCCCTCAACCCTGATTTTATGAAAAAAAGAAAAATATTAAAGTAGCTTTGCAGCTCCCTCCCTGTTTTTTCCATGCTAAGGATTGAGTCTTCTGTATGCTAACCCATTGATCTACACCCATAGTTCCTCTCCAATTTTATTCTAGGTTTCATGATAGAGTGGGAAAGATGGACAGTGGCAAGAGATGGGTAGAGGGATGTGGTCTGTCTTTGAGCAGCTGCTCTGTTGTGGTTTGCCAGGAAAGCTGTTCCTTCAAATTAACATTAAACCTTGAGCATTACGGGCAGTTGTTGATGAGAATGTCACACAGGGCTTATGGTAGGGAAGACAGGAGGGCGGGTGTGATCACTGTTGTTTAGGTTTGGCACTTGACTGTGTGTGTAGCAGGTGGACATGATTTCTGCCTATTGAGTAAATTAGTGTTATCAAATGCCTTATGTGATTACACGGAATGCCTGAGTTGGCACAAATAACAAGAAGCAATGATTTCTGCTGCAGATGAAGCCAGTTAGCTGTTTGGATGTTTGCTTGTGCACATGAACTGTACTTATTCATGAAGTAAATTAGTTCCACAGTGCTGTTTAGAGTTCCGCATGCTCCCTGTCTCCACAGAACTGAACAATGTGTATGTGTGTGGGGGGTGGGGGGGTGGTTCTTGGTGTTTGAAAAATTCCAAGTGGGGGAACAGTTGATTTGATGACATGTTATGGGGGAAATTCCTCTCACCTTTTATTTAAAAAGGAAAATTAGCACTGTCATGAAACCTCTAGGGAAAAGTAACTTCTTTTCCAAAGATACAGAGCACTTAGCTGTGGTCTTTTTGTTTTGTTTTGTTTTGTTTTATTTACTTTTTACCCACTTTAGCTTGAATTCCATTCTAAATTGTCAGCCATTATTTTAAATGTGTATGCCTTGTACAGGAATATGCTGCAGCCAAACTGCTTCCATCTTCCAGAGTCCAACTGGGCCTGCCCACCAAAGATCTTCACAGCTGGACTTGTTGACTGTTACTGACCTTCCCTCTTGGAAAGATGGGGCAGGAGGATCATGGGACCCTCACCTGACTATCCAGCCACCACCACCACCCAACCAGTTGTATGCAATTATAACCTAACTGGATGTGGCCTTGGGGTCTCTGGGAGTGGCTAGAGGATAGAGGGTGGGAAGGAGGAGGGAGGTCTCATCCATGCAACTTGCAGAGCCATCGTCCTTACTGGGTGCACATCTCCAGTGTGGCTGCCATGCTCCTACCTGTAGCCCCTTGTAGCACGAATCTTAAAAGTTCTTATTAATAAAAACAAACCCGGAGCCAGGTATTGGAGTGAACGCTGAAAGATCAGAGAGACAGAACCAGCCACAGCCAACCTCACTTCATCAATTCCTCAGCTGATCTCATTTCCTCAAACTGGAAGCCTCTGTGTCCTCATTCGAATGGATCTCAGCTGAACTGCTGTTGAAAGCCTAAAAGCTTAATCAGCTCTAGTTCTTGGTCCTCACGCCTTATATACCTTTCTGCCATCTGCCATCACTTCCTGGGATTAAAGGCATGAGTCACCATGCTTGGCTGTATCCTTGAACAGATGGATCTCTGCCTCTGGAATGCTAGGATTAAAGGCATGTGCTACCACTGCCTAACCTCTATGTTTAATATTATGGCTGTTCTGTTCTCTGACCCCTAGATAAGTTTATTGGGGTGCACAATATATCAACTACAGCCCCTCACCCATTGCTTTGTAAGCCAGCCTGATAAAAATCATTCATTGGTACCCGAGTGAACTTTGAGGGAACTGTACCTCAGTTTGTCATTGGGACTTTAGGAGGAGGGGTAGATGCTCTCTGGCTATCTGTAGAATTCATATGAATATGATTTCTGTATTCCCTTTAGTACAATAAACCCCACAAACTCTAACCTATATAACAATATGAGTTAATATGAGTTTGGGGTCTATTTGATAGGGTTCTTTTTCTGCTGTCTTGGGGATAGGATGATGGAGGGACAGCTGAGCAGCAGAGTGCTTTCCTGGCATGTGGAAGGTCCTGGGTTCAATCTCTGGAACCACAAAGAGTTAGACAATGCTATTTTTCTGTCTTTCCTCTTTACTCCTGTTCCCTCAAGTTCCTTGCATTAGGACTGCAGAAAGAGCCTGGTTTCAGAGCTCAGTCCTCAATACAATGAAAGGCACCCTTCATTCCTAAAGGTGGCAGGAATCTAACAATGGTTCCTTCCTGTGGAACGCATTATCATTTGTGGCTTTTTTTTTGTTTTGTTTTGTTTTCGAGACAGGGTTTCTCTGTAGTTTTGCGCCTTTCCTGGAACTCACTTTATAGACCAGGCTGGCCTCGAACTCACACAGATCCACCTGGCTCTGCCTCCCGATTGCTGGGATTAAAGGCGTGCACCACCACCACCCGGCTCATTTGTGGCATTTTAAAAGTGGGCATTGCTGATTTCTTTCCTAGGAATTCTGCTTAGTTCCTGCATCTGAATTTGTGTTTAAACCCCCTTACTAGCAGATCCCAATGAAGAAAATCCACAAACATTAACTGGAGATAGTGAACTTTACCAGATCCTTGCTCTTGAATGTAGACTTGATTTTTATCTCCTACAAATAATTTTTCTCATATTTAGAAAGCAGTGTTCAAATAATAGTCCTGAGAATCAATAGATGGCCAAAAGGATAAGATGTGAGGAATTACTCTTTTCCCAGAGTTAAAAATCGGTTCTAAATTTCTACAGCAAAAATTAGATGACCAGGGAGGAAAAAAAAATGATCAGAACATTAGCTTTTGTGAGCATCTTCCGTGAAAGGAGACAGTAACAAGCATTGGGCTTTCCTGAATTTAATATTCTCCTTGAAATTATCTACAAACCACATCTCTAGAAGAATGCATAGTCAGATTAACAGAAAAGAGAATTATTCTCTTAATGTGGGGTGTGTATGTGCATGTCTCTCTCTCTCTCTGTGTGTGTGTGTGTGTGTGTGTGTGTGTGTGTGTGTATGAGTGTGCAACATGATGCTAAAAAAGTTTAGGACTTGGAACATTTGGGGTTTGGGCTTTTCAGGTTAGGGATGCTCAGCTGGTAAAGACTTTGGAAATGTTTAAGATTTATTTATTTTTATTTTATGTGTCTAAAGGTGTGTTTTGCCTGCATGTGTGTCTGTCTATGCATCAGAAGTGTGCCTGGTACCCTCAGAGGCCAGAGGAGGCCATCAGATCCCCTGGAACTGGAGTTGGAGATGCAGACTGTTGTGAGGCACCAACCATGTGGGTGTTTCGAACCGAACCTGGGTTCTCTGCAAGAGCAGCCAGTGCTTATAAACACTGAGCCATCTCCTCAATCCCATTACAACAACCCATGAAAGCTGAAATACTTCAGATCTGGAGCATTTCAGTAAGGGATACCCAACCTGTAATGTGAAACATGCATGGCATCTTATACCAAATATAATAATGGACCATTCTCTTTTGACATGATTCCCTCTCTCTGAAAATGTGTCCTTATTATGCAGTTAGCATTCCTTGTGTTTCTTAACATTTATCATTCTATGCTTAGCCTCTATTTCTGTGTTTTAATAACACATAAATTATGCTAGAAGCAGTTGCTTTAATTCTGATGCCAACAATGGCTTCTCTCCCTTAGCTTGGGCTTCACTGAAAGGAGTGGTTCCTTTTCATTTCCTTAGATTATTGCTAAAGAAAGGGTTAAAACCACCTGGAACACCGAGAGAGCCACAAAGCAATCCCCTCGGGGAATCTTTGTTTACCAGTTCCCTGTGTCGCTGTGCTGCTGGTAGAACTTCTGATATAAAATGGATGGCTTAGTGCATTGAGTCAGCCAATAATGCATAAAGCAATCTTAAGTGCCTGCAAGCTAGACTAACATCAATTCTGCTTTATGGTCTGAAGAGAAATGACATAAGACCTTTGCTGACTTTTATTTTTATCCTCAGCAATTCAGAGTAAAGTAAATGGGGTCCCGTTGGTCTCTGGTAACAACTAAATTATCCCCTATTCTGGTGACAGCTAAATTATCCCCCACTAGGGGATTTCTGGGAATTTATAAGGCATTTCATTAATTGAAAATTCCATGCTATGGTAGGAAACAGATAATTTCTTTAGTAAACAGTTGCAGTAAAATGGGTGTGAGCACAATGTAAAACAAGGTACTGAGGGCCAATTTCATTATCACAAAGAAGGTAAGGGTACGGACACCCTTTTTGGTTAGTTCCAACTTCTTATATAGCGTTTTCATTTATTTGCCAGCTCTATTCTTGCAAGGTGTATGTTATGTTCATGTGACCCCGAGCCTGTTTTTTGCCTCTTCTTAGGAGACCGGAATATAATGGTCTACTCTGTGTTAGTGGCTCCTTCTCATATGATCAAGTGTTTTCTGGAATTATTATGCAGTTATTTTTCTGCCAAATACAATCTGTTTAAGGTAATTTTCAGGTGGCCCTTCAGCAACTAAATTTAGTGAGGTCAGTGACTAAACCTACGGGGATGGGGAGATGGCTCACTGAGTAAAATGCTTCCTGTGCCAGCCCGAAGACCCGACTTTCATCTCCAGCACCCATGTGAAGGTGTAGTGCCATAAGCATATCTGTAGCCCCAACATTAAGAGAGGCCAGAGACAGGTGGATTCAGGGTGCTTGCTGCAGCCGGTCTAGCCAAAAGGGTCAGCTCCAGGTTCAG